AATTTTTAAACTTTAGTCCTATTTTGGCAATTTAAGATTTATTTACTCCTATTTAGGTCAATACCCCACTATAATTATACATTTTCACTTTGTTCCGATTTCCTTAATTTGCGAGCCAAGTTTGACTTGGAAGACTTTATTGGGACGGAGGTAGTAATATTATTTAGATTTTGGTTTTCCAAATTAAAGTAATATTTTAAGGATGGCCTGGATACCTTTAATAATACTGATGTGGAATTTATAAATAAAATAATCCTTTTCTTTTTAATATTGAACTTTAGTGAATGAAATGATACCAGGCAGAAGAAGGTACATTGCGAGATTTGAGTTTGATGAAAGGACCATAATTAAATTCATATCAGTATAAGCGATTTCTTTCATAAGCAATTTCTTTCATAATAATATATTAGGCACATAAAGTGGCGATGAAACAAATTTTATATGGTCCAAAAAGTAGAGTGTAAAGTCAAATTTCTCTTTAATGGTATTATATGAAACTGAATTATGCATTTGGTGAAACTAAAATATGCATGGTAAAATTGAAATGTGAAAAATAAAAAATAAAACTTAAATGTGTATTATGTAAAATTGAAATGAGTAGAATAAAATGTGTAAAATGCACACTTAAGCTTCACATAATATTACTGTGCCGTAGCCTTTGTTATGCACATTTCAATATTATCTAACACACATTCAATTCCACATCATATAGTTTTACAGTCCAGATTTATTCTAATTTCTTTACTAAAATCATTTTATTAAACGAATTGTATATATACTTCCTCCGCTCTTTTTCAATTGCAACGATCCATTTTTCATGTTTGCTAACAAACATGTTTGATCATTAATATTTTTCATTCTTTATTCGTATAAAAATATAAAAAATAGATTTGAAAATATACAATGAGAGAGATTTAACAACATTTTTTAAATATTTAATTGATAATACATTAATAAATAAAATAGAGTCAAAGTAGAAAACGTGAATAACGGAAGAAATAATTACATAAATATGACCAAAATAAAGATGGTTTACAAAAATATGATTCATTACTAGTGTAGTAATGAAATCATAGTAATTCATGTTCAAGTTTTTAACTTTAGTTACCACAGCACTACGTTGTAGTAATGAATAGTCATATTTATGTAAATAAGTTTTATTTTAGTAATATTCTCGTAAAAAACCCATAACGGAAAGAGTCCAATATTGCATTTAAAAGGGAACGGATTGTAGAAAACGTGAATAACGCATGTATGTATATTATATACTCCCTCCGTAACATAAAGATCTTCCCATTTTGACTTTTCACGGTGTTCTAAGTTGAACTTTGACTGCAAATATCTACATATCTATATTTATAAAATTCATAATAAATTAACATTCAAATAATACGTTTTACAATGAGTTATATAAAATAAATTTTTAATCCTAACATAATGTGAGTTTTGAATAATTAATGGTAAAGTTCATGAAGTTTGACCCAAAAGAGTCAAACTGGGAAGATTCTAGCGTTACTGAGGTAGTAGCAGTTTAGATGAGATAACTACAAATGATTCATATGAAATGATAGTGATGAGCGACCTGTTTGATGCCATGCCAATGGATGGCGAGATCTTCGGTCTCTAGATTGTTTATGACGTTGACCACGATTGTGTCACCTTGGGTTGCGTAGATAATGGGTGCCGGATATTCGCCGTTGACGGTCAAAGTTGGTTTCCGGTAACCATCCGGTGACCGGAGCTCGAACTTTACATCCCACACTTGATACACCGTTTTGGCTTCCACTGATGAGCTGGTGGCCAAAGCTGCCAAGACGAAGAGGCTGAAGCGAATGGCTGATACAAACTTCCTCATCTATACGTCGTCGTCAGGCGACTTGGCCGGCCGGCCAATTCGATTGACGTTGAAACAATAATAATGCCAGACCAGTGGTTGGTTGATTTCGTTAATACCTCCTCTTACTGTTGATGTGAATATTGAAATAAATTAAAGGTGCATATATATGCCGCGTGCGAGTATTTATTTATAATCAAGTCTAGGAACATATGAACGCTGAACGCATATATGTGTATATATGTTTTCTTTTGGACTGTTTTCAGTCCCACACCTGACCAGACCAGTCCAGATCAGATTTCCGTAGTTATAAAAGACACAGAGATCAGACGTTTATCAGACTAGACTAGACCAGACCAGACCAGATCAAACCAGACCAGCAAATTTCAGTCCAAAAGAAAACATCCTAATTCACACTGAACCGGTAACATGTTAAACCGCCTGAAATTTCTGTGTCTGAATTTTGGGATTTACTTTACTAGTCTAAAAAGGGAATTCTTTCACGACCCCGAAAATACGTTTAGACGGTTTAGTCGCTCACCCTGAATTGAGGACTTGAAAAGGAAAGTTACGGGCTGGAATGATATGCAAAATCTGGGGACATAAAAATTGATAAATCTCATCAAGTATATTGGGATTTCACAACATTACTGTTAAATCTCATTTAGAAGTGTATTCTGCAAAAATCCAGATTTTCTTTTTAAGTTAAATACTTTATATACAGAGTATTATTTAAATTTATTAAAATGGTAAACTTTTTTGTGAGGAAGAAAGTCACAAAAAGTAGTGTGAAAATCGATAAATAAGCAAAGAAATAAAAAACTATGATATTTTAGGTATGAAGCCCTAAAATAGATACTTGAGTTTTTTATTTATAAGATTTGATATCTCACAATAAATTTCCATTAATATATAAATGAATGTAATAAACTTCATTGTTTCAGCTAGCCTCCCGGCGAACTCCTTCATACTCCTATACTTTTCCAGTCAAATATCGCAATATAATGTATGGTGACTTAAATTACAAAGTGATGCCCACTTTGATGATAGGTAGAAATTTGTCGCACGCTTTCTACACAATAATAATTACACCCCTCCCCACTATAGACCATTTCTTCTCTGTTAGGTTGTCCAAATATTAATAAAGTAAATAAATGTATAATACTCCGTAAAAGTTTATGTATTGTCCATAATGAATACGGAGTATTTTGAATTTGGAAATTGTAAAGTAAAAAAAATAAAGAATTCCATTTTGTTATAGAGTTTTTTACATAAATATTATCAAAAGTATTTGAAGTTACAAAAAAGTGACTATGAATAAGGTCATATTTTAGTAAGTTGGGTTTAAAGTAGTTATATATATTTGTGTAGTTTTTTCTTTGTTGTTATAATGGTTCCTTTTAATATATTTATATCAATTTAATATTGTTAACATCAAAGAAATATTCAAAACATTAACATATAATTACATAATTATGGTGTTTGACCCTATGTATTAAAAAATATTTTGAAAATTTAAAACTTTAAAAGATCATTTTGTGCTCAATGCTTCCTTTTATATTAATAATATTAGTTTATTACATTTTGATGTAAATATTAATAAAGAGGCATTGAATACAAAATGGATTTTAACTTATTATTATTATTATTCACTTTCAAAATCCTATATTTTCATGCATTTATTTTTTATTTTTTTTAAATTTATGTTATATATTTAAAGTTAGTAACAATAGTAAGGGTAAATTTACTCTTAAATAAAAACTTTAAGGATATTTAATTTTGCACCTTTCTAAATCTTAGGGCATAGTTCATATATGCACCCAAATGTAAATATGAAGGGTATAATAATACTTTCCTCTATTTGTTTATTCATGGAAATTTCTTTTTAATAAACACTACCTCATTATAAAACTAAAATAGCATTCATGATATTGCATTTCTTACATATTTGAGTTGATCGAAACTTCATGATCCTCCAATCCTGAGCTAACTAATACTCCCTAATATTTAATTTATAAAAATTAGAGCACAAAAGTTAAATAGTTCGAAAATGTGTACGTAGTATTAAACAAATTCTTCAACCGCGCGTGTGCACTTTCTTGTTAATATTTTGCATATATTCATATTTGTTGATTTAGGCGTTTCTTCGTTGGTCCCATTCTCTAGAGAATCATACGAATGATAATCGAGTACTTAGATTGTTTAAATTTACTTTTCGGATTGATATTTCTCCTATATGTGTCGATTACAAGATTTTCTTTAAAGGTGTCGGGCACTAAAAAATTTAGGCACAAATTCAATAACACAAATTAGTGAGGATATGAATTGGCACAGAGGTAGTAATATAAATTTGGACACAAATTCAATAACACAAACTAATGAAGGTTCGTTCTATATCTTCCCTCTACACTACAAGAAAAAGCGTTTTTTGCGTCGACAAAAAGTCGACGCAAAATGTCCAAAATCGACGCAAAAAGTTTATTTGCGTCCACAGGTGGACGCTAATGTGTTGACGCTAAAGGCTCGACGCAAAAAGTTTATTTGCGTCCACTTTTTGTCGACGCAAATAAAATCTATTATTTGCGTCCACTTTGTCGACGCAAAAAGGTACTGGGTGCGAAAAATAAAAAGAACCTTTAGCCTCAACATGTCGACGCTAAAAGTGCTTCATTTTCCAAAAAAAAATAAAAAAAATATATAACTATTGTGGTTTTCCAATCAAATACTAACTACAAGCTTTATTAACATTTATAAGAATCATAAAATACAAATCCATATCCATTATTCTGGATTTCTGGCTATACAAATCCAGGTAAAACTTCTCTGTCCCTTGCAGAATGAGAGTGCAAGTTATTAGAACACCACGAAACCAAGGTAAAACTCTCACTTTCGTTTACAGTAAGCTAACATGAGCAATTCTGTCACAATATCATCTAACAAATCCATCCATGGCATATTCTCTCAACTCTTGCCAAACCCCACATCATCTCATCCTGACCAGCAAAGTTCAGAGCCAGTTTCACTTGATCTATCTCTCAGCTTCAAGCCTACAGCCAGCCATTATGAAGGAAAAGTTGCAGACACCCAAACAGAAGGGTCAACCTCTTCAAGAGCTTATACGTGCAATTTCTGCCACCGAAAATTCTGCAGCTCACAGGCTCTTAAGGGTCACCAGAACGCCCATAAGAGGGAACGGTTTATCGCAAAACGAGCAACCAGAAGGGTTTTGTTCTCCACTCCTCTGCCTAGACAGTCTAACAATAATAGATGGGGTCGTTTTGTTATTGCTGGATATGCAGAGAACAATAAAGATATAAGGACTGCATTTCCGAGGAAGGTTGATCATATCGTGTATACTTTGTTCTGCCGTTCTGAAGATAACATTGAAACATTATTTATTTCTATGTTTAATTTAGTAAAGAAAAAAACATTAACTAATACAGCATACATTGTATACTTACTTCTGTTGTTCTTCATCTCCCAGTTCCTTTCCTTCCCTTTGGTTTCCAGATCCCCTTCATTCTTCTCTTCCCTTCCCGGATCCTTTTCCCCTATCAGCCTATTTCCTTTCTTCCCTCCCAGTATATAAAATTCTAGATTTTTAAGCCAACTAGTCAAGACATACACATATATATCAACATAATAATGAAAAACATACTCAGCTCCTACCATCCTCATATCAGTTGGATGCTATAATTTATTTCTGAACAGAAGATTAAAGATGAAACTGAACTTTACTATAACAATATCACCTACACATATTGGAATATACCAATATCGAGCAGAAGCTCTCACACTCTTTGTTTTGGTTGATTTTAGCATCCAAGTTCCTGTAATATGCAAAACACATTAATTAGCTAAATTATCTAGTTAACATATACTTCAAATAAAATACGTTCATCATTTATAAAATATTCTTATGAAGGCAAGTACCATATGTCCTTCCAACAATATATTGAATCCATTAACTCATGAAGACATTGTATGTATTGTCTCTACAAATGATCACTTATCATTTGATTCTGAAATTTGAGTACTTCTCTTGAAATCTCAAATAAAACAAATTTAAACAGTTAACAAACATTAACAAGTTATAATAAGTACTTATAATAAAAATAACTGAAGTAAATCTTACATTTACCTCATTCGATCTAGAAACAGATCTGTCAGATTTGCTCATGAATCATGATGCTGCAATCAAGTCAAATTAAACCTCAAAATTATCATCTAAGTTTAAGTTAACATAACCAATTAAGTTGATTAATACCTGCTTCAAGACAGCATCTACAGACTTGCTAATATGTATGGCCTGAAACAAAAACAATATTTTTTTTAAACCAGCATTGTTTAAAATGTAAGATATCAAAGTAGGAATGCTTGTTAATATAATATAATACGGATAATAAAGGTGTAGTACATTCAAGTAATCTGCCAATAGATAATTCTTACAGGAACATAACAAAATAAAATAAAAGCATACCAAACAGGAACTCAAATAGTAACAAAACAATCCTGAAATCCTCAAATAAAAAATAAAAAAAATCTAAATAGGAAAGGAATCTGAATAGTCAAATACATTACCGGAAATCTGAGGTCTGTAGCAATAGTGGTCGCCATCGCCGTCGCGTGTGAGATGTCTTCCCGGTCTTCCAGGACGATTAATTGGTTCGCGGAGTAACTCGTCGGAAACAGAAAACAAACTGAAACTTCTGGGAGACCAGAATGAAAGATCAAAGGCTAAAGAATTAGCCTAAAGAAATAGAAATCACCTAAGCGAAAAAGGACTTTCCAGGAATATATAGATGGAAGAGCCCAGATAGAAAGCAAAAGGGGTACCTAAAATGGCCACTTTCAGTGTGAAAGGGATCGGCAGACTTGACAGCGGAAGTAGTACGAGTACTAGCTTAAATTGCGCATCATAATGTCAAGTTGAAACACTAAAACCAGATTTCCAAAATGGAATACATTCAGTGTGTTCATTCTCTCTTTTTTAAATAAAAAATTAGTTTATCACTCCATTAAGAAACTACCTTCATAGAATACCTTTACATATTCTTGTATCTTTCATCAAAGATGGATAGCAGTTGAAAATAATTTACTCATCTAAGATTTAATGTTAAGCACAGGAAAAGACAGAAATTACATACCCTCGATGCAGCTTTTTTAAAATATGAGGACTATATGTAAAGTTTTACTACTGTGGCCAGTACAATGTAAAAGTAAACATCACCATACTACTGTGGTCAGTGCAATAAATCTCTTTAGCATTAGTTAACTCAAAGGAGGGACTATACCTCTCTATAGAAGTTCATTTTAATGCTTTCATACTCATTTGTGATGTAAACTAATGTGAACTATCAATTGAAAGAAAACCAAGAATTGTTTTACACACACAATCATCACATACCTGCTAAAACTCTTCACCTTTGAAGTTAAATAAACAGTCGGTCTATGACTGGACAACTCAAGAGTCTGAAATATTTTAATTGAATCAAGTATAACATTTGCTACTGCTATCGGTCCCGGACAACCACTGAAAAAATCATTATCAAAATGTTACTCGGTCATTCATTAATGTGAAAAATCAGAAAAATTAAACCAACAATGGGACTGAGCATCGTAAAACAAACTGATTGCAAACTAGAATGTAAACAAAGCTTAATAGAATATGTAAGCCTATTTTGTATCAGAGTTTATAAAGCCTTGTGTAGGAGGTAAGACTCAACCTGCTTTTCTATCGGATCTGTCTACTCTTGAAGCTTCAAGGAGAAACGCCTGCGGCAAAGGTCCTCTAGCGACTATCTTTTTCTGACCGTAGGATGCCCAAAATTGGCTCAAGTCGTGGACATGCTTCAGTGTATCGGTGTATTTCTCTCTTCCGGGTCGCAGGTGCGCACCAAGTGCTGCCTTTTTCGATGGAGCGACAAAGGAGTGTTGTCCGATAAGCTGAGTGGCGGTGTTGTTCCTGTGAGGGCCGAAGTCTATCATAAGTCGTCGATGTGCTCGGCGTTTTCCGGTGGAGGCCAGCGATGTCCTCCCAAGCTTGCCCCGCTATTGCCGATGCGGGAGGGCCGCAATAACTTAGGAGACAACACTTCGATGAAATTCAATTCTGAAGTACAGAGTAATAGTTAGGGTAGGGTTTTTTTTAAACGATCCAGAAAACTCTAATAGCTACGGACTACGGAGCACTAAATGTTATTAGCGTCAACCTGCCCAATATATTTTCATACTTTTTTTTAGTACATTCTTTAGCATCCCCAAGTGGACGCAAAAGACAAGTTATTTGTGTCTACGTGTGTCGACGCAAAAACTTTGGACGCAAATAATGTTATTTCTTGTAGTGCTATCCGAAATATGGATATATTTTATTTATAAATTATAATCGCTACATGCAATCACTCCAGGGGCGTAGCTAAGGGGTGGCCAACCCTGACCCCGGCTCAGTCCAAATTTAAAAAATGTTTATATTTTAAGTGTAAAAAAGGTCGTATGAAATTTTTTCCAAAAATATTCTTTGTACCGGCTCAGTGCTCTGGCTCCGCCCCTGAATCACTCCCTCATCCCACTAAGATTGTCTCATCTTTCCTTTTCGGTTTGTCATCTTAAGATTGTGACATACCAATTTTAGTAAAATTTGTGTAGTATTAAATCGTTCATTGATAAGTCCGTATTTAAACACGCATTTGATGCGTGTTGGGATCGACTTATGACTGTTTTCCTAGCTTTAAAGGGTTACAAGTCTCAATTTTAGCTCAAGTCATGTTTACCGGTGTTGGTTCGAGTTTTGTGTCATTTGGAGTCTAAATCAGGAATTTAGAGTTCGGCACCGGCGCTTGAGGAGCAATCGGGATGATTCGAGAAGCATTCGAGATTGATTTGAGAGCTTTGGAGGTCACCAGGAGGTTCACGATGAATATTTGATGACAAAAGAGCTCTAGGATTGGCTACGGGATCAAAAGAAGATGAATAGAGCTGAAAAACGGCGATCAGGATGACCTTCTGTAAATCGTTCAAGCATATCTCTTTGTAGAAGTATCCAAAGGACACGATTCAAGTTTCACATGAAAGCTAACTTCAAGGGCTACAAATCATATGAAAACATCATTCCGAGAAGGAGCAAGGTGAAAACAGACGATGAAGTCAGATGAGCTCTGTTGCGATTTCAGAATGCCACCTTCCACCATTTTATTCATATCTCTTGATTGGATAATTCAAATCCCATTCGGCAAGTTGTGGTGAATAGAGGACTTCATGATCTAAAACTTTCATGAAGGAAGTTTGGTCAAATTCGGAAGGAAAAGGCCAGACACGGTTGTGCTTGGGAGATAGGCACGACCATGCCTACCCAAAACGCGCGACTTTACTCCGGAGGCACGGTCGTGCCTGGCACCGTGTCTACCTCCGAAAATCCCAATTTGAGCCGAATTTTGACTGTTTTCTTTAAATAAGGCATCCATACTCATATTTTGTGGTGACGAACATTACGGGAAGGCCTAGGGACAAATTTAACATTTTTTTTCCCGCTATTTTCTTCAAGAGCCCTGGAATTATTTGTAAGTTCATCTTTTTAATTAATGACATTTATTGCTATTCATCCCAATTCTATTGATTCTTCAATTATGAATTGTGAGTAGTTTAATTAGGGATTTGGGGTTGATGAAGGGGTTGATCATGATGTATGGCTAGATTCTTGATGGATTAATTGCATGAATGCCGTTTAATTTGTGTTTGAATAATTTAACTGATATCTTTTGTAAAGTGGAACCGCGGCTAGAATTACAATTGCTTATAGAATAAATCAAGAGAGATCTAGTTTATTCTAGGACACATTCACCCACACAAGGGGCCATAAGCTTGTTCGTCTTGGCAATAATTTAGGATCTTGTCGCATGAGAAATCAGCCTGGTCCCTTAAATCAATTTCATGTAATTAAGCCAGATCTGCCAGAATTCTGTTTACCCCGGAATCTACTCTTTGCATAGGTTTAAATGATTTAAATGATTTTAAATCATGTAATTGCCTAGAGTCTACTCTTTGCATAGGTTTAAATGATTTTTCCCTAAATTGTGGCCTACTAAGTTCTTTGATCCTAAGAATAACCCCGAAATTGCTGAATGCATTAAGTCTTTGTTAGGATGTTCCAAACTCTCAAGAAAGGGATTGTTTATTATTCTTACCATTCAGCATTCACCACCGCCTTCACAAAGTCCTTCTGATCGGTAGCTAGTTTATTTGTGTATGATGTCACTACTTTGAGGATGTTGTGAATAATTTTGTTAGATATGTTAGCTAGAGTACAAAGATGTAGTTTAAGGAAGAATTTTCTTGGTTTAGTCTGTCTGTTATGTGAATATCCCTTTAACTACTTGAGCATGCTAATAATTTTGATTTCGTGTGGTGATTATCGTAAGTCCCGTTGTTCAGTTTGCTTGAGGACAAGCAAAAGTTTAAGTGTGGGGGAATCCGATAAGTCCGTATTTAGACACGCATTTGATGCGTTTTAGGATCGACTTGTGATGGTTTTCCTATCTTTAAGGTGTTACAAGTCTCAATTGTAGCCCAAGTCATGTTTACCGGTGTTGGTTCGAGTTTTGTGTCATTTGGAGTCAAAATCAGGAATTTAGAGTTTGGCAGTGGCGCTTGAGGAGCAATCGGGATGATTCGAGAAGCATTCGACAATGATTTGAGAGTTTTGGAGGTCAACGGGAGGTTCACGATAAATATTTGATGACAAAAGAGCTCTAGGATTGGCTACGAGATCAAAAGAAGATAAATAGAGCTGGAAAACGGCAATCAGGATGACCTTCTGTCAATTGTTCAAGCATATCTCTTTGTAGAAGAATCCAAAGGACATGATTCAAGTTGCAAATGAAAGCTTACTTCAAGGGATACAAATCATATGAAGACATCATTCCGAGAATCTGAGAGTAGCAAGGTGAAAACAGACGATGAAGTCAGATGAGCTCTGTTGCGATTTCAGAATGCCACCTTCCACCATATTATTCATATCTCTTGATTGGTAGAAGGGTTGATTCTTCAATTATGAATTGTGAGTAGTTTCATTAGGGATTTGGGGTCGATGAAAGGGTTGATCATGATGTATGGCTAGATTCTTGATGGATTAATTGCATGAATGCCGTTTAATTTGTGGTTGAATAATTTAACTGATATCTTTTGTAACCTGGAACCGCGGCTAGAATTAAAATTGCTTATAGAATAAATTAAGAGAGATGTAGTTTATTCTAGGACACATTCACACACTTAATCGTTCGCTAAGAGATTAGTAGCGATTAAGGGCCGTAAGCTCGTTCGTCTTGACAATAATTTAGGATCCTGTCGCATGAGAGATTAGCCTGGTCCCCTAAATTATTGTACTCTACGCCGCGAGAGCGGTAAGAACTTAGTAATGATTAGCTAGACTCAATTAAATCAATTTCATGTAATAAAGTCTGATCTGTCAGAAATCTGGTTACACCGGAATCAATCCCTGTTCCCTTCGTCATTAATTAGAGAGAACCCATTTAGTTTAATCGTTTTATTCGCATTAGTTAATTTTCATACCAATCATATCTCGCACGACGTATTTATTTTATTTATTTTTAATCGTTGAATTTAATTAATTCTTGATTCCTTTTTGTCTGTCCCCGTGGAGACGATACTCGTACTTTCACCACTATTCTACAATATTTCGAGAAAACTCACATCATTCATAATTTATTTTTACTTTATCAATTCAATATCAACCGCGCAGATTCACTTTTTCTTAACAATCGTGTCACCTCTTCATGTCTCAATGTTAGTTAGACGGATGTACTCATAGTAATTAAAAACGTACAGTTAATTTGGGAAAAATTGTGATGTATTCTGGAAAATTGCATGTAATTAAGTACCTTAATGATCTAGATATGTGTCTAGAACTACAGAGTTGGTCTACTGAGAGTCCTGTAGCGAGTCCTACTCGATATGTTATGGAACTTGGGGAAGTAATTCTAGAGAGAAGTTAGATCAAAAGTAAAATGAGAAAGTTGTGTATTAATATGGCAGAGTAACAATGCAGAACTTTTGGTCTCTTTTGCTAAGGGAACAGATCTTTATCTTTATATAATATAAAGTAGCAGAGTTGCTACAATGAATGGAGGGAAAATTCCCACCCAAATTAAGGACAAAATGGGAAATTATTGTACAAAATTGTAACCCCGTCTATTAGTTGTTCTGCAGGCTCTAACTTTGGTAAGTTTGTTTTTATTAAAATGTTAAGCCATTTAAAATGGATCAGATTTGCATGATATATACGAAGTATGATTTTGGGGTGTTTGGTTAGTAGCCTATCAGCTATTTTTTGGCTGATTTGACTATTATTTGGCTTTTTGACCAGATAAACAGTTAATTGAAGTGTTTGGTTAGTCGGCTTTTTGAGTTGGCTCTTTATCAAACTAGCGTTTTGATACCGGCCGATTGAAAAATTATCGGGAAAACTATCAAATAAGCCCTCGTACTATGCCGAAAAAGTCGATTAGGCCCTCGTACTTTACAAACACTCAATTAAGTCCTCGAACTATTAAAAAAGGTTCAATTAAGCCCTTTCGGTCGGTAAGTAACTGGTTACTCGGTTAAACGGTGACGACGGCGACGATGTGCTCGAACCCCCGCAACGGCGGCTGCCGGGAAACGGGTTACATTTAACCGGGCAATCGGTTACTTACCGACTGAAAGGGCTTAATTGAATGTTTTTTGATAGTTCGAGGGTTTAATTGAGTGTTTGTAAAGTACGAGGGCCTAATCGATTATTTCGGTATAATACAGGGGCTTATTTGAGAGTTTTCCCAAAAATTATCCGATATTCCTAGAATAGGTCTTACCCGTACTGCCTTCCTTTTTTTTTCGTCTTCCACATCCTACACCTAAAAGAAAACTCAGCCGTGAAGTTCTGCCAAGTTCATCGTCACTTTTCATACAACAAACTATCTGGGAGGAGGGTCGCATATGGCAGAGAGCTTGACGTTATTGTTGGGAAATATTGCTTTAAACAATTCGTATGAAAGCAGGAGGAAAACTCCTTTTTCTAGGGCTTCAACTCTTTGCCGGGCGGACT